GCTAATCCGTTGATCGTTACATCAGTTACAGCCTTAGTAAGATTCGCAGGGGCAGCCGCTGCACTGATGGAGGAGACGGGGAACGGCGAGGTAGCTGCGGTATGCTTTGAGTTGGCAGGAGCCCGGTAAACTTTCTGGAAATGTCCCCGTTTGCCACATGACTTGCAAGTTGCATCTTCCGCAGGACATGTGACAAGGATGTCGATCATAACCACAAAAGAAGCAGCTTGTTCGAGACGTAGCCAACGTCGTCTCAGGTGTCTGATCCAGGGTGCTTGCAGCGGCAGCGCAGATTGAAGGAGTGACTTGGGCGAATGTTTGAGACTGCTGTTGAGCTAGATCGAGAGCTTTGGCCTGGTCATAAGCGGTACTCACATCGAGTGTTTTATTTTCAAGAAGCCGCTGACGAATGGGGTTTGATAATAACCCGTTGATAAACGCGTCACGTATGGCGTCCTCCTCGTTTTGTTTCGCACTGACCGCTTTAAAATTGCAGTCTCGAGCAAGGTTTCTGAGCTTCTGCATGAATTGATCCAGAGTTTCAATGGCACTCTGTTTTGAGGTCGCCAGAAGATGGCGCGCGAAAATCTCGTTCTTCGTTTGCATATATAGGGATTGAAGCGTCGTAATGGCAGAGTCATTATCAGTGCATCGTGAAACGAATTTGTAAACAGTAGGCGACAAAAAGTGCATGCGAGTTTTGAGTTTGTCTGGTTTACGCTCTTCCACAAGTCCTAGGAAATGAGTGAACGTATAATACCAGTGTTCCCAGGCATCGGCACCATTTGGAGAGTTGGGATCAGTGTCAAAACGATCCGGGCGTAGATGCCGGCCCATTGTAATTGGTCGATTAAATTGTAACGTAGTAGATTATGATTGACGAGAAACTTGTAGTGTATCTGATCACACGTTTAGTCGGCAGACAAGCCAGAAGACAACGCCTTAATGATGGGCTTCAATCGACCAAAAACGAGACATGAGAGCTTTAACGGGACAAGCAAAATGTTAGAATATGCACCCAGAATAACAGCAGTCGATGCAACAGAAAAGGCAATAATAAATACACAACATTCCTTTTTTCAGCTTTTCTTCCACCTCACATTCACTCCCTCAAACATTACCATTATTACAAAGATCTCCAGACAATCGTACTACCAGTTGTGCCTTCGATGGAAATTCCATCCCTTTTCTCGCGTCCTGCCTCGAATAGCGTCCAAGTCTCACCAAATCTTCCTCCACCAATTAAAGCTCTTCTTCGTCCTCGATGCTCATTCAAACTAGCCACATACCTTGATACGTATAGGACAACAGGCGTGTTTAGCTCGCACCCTCGAAACCCTAGCCATCGATGTGTGTTGTATCCAAGAGACTCGCGTTCAAGACTAGCTCCGCCATCCGATTGACGTCCCCGTCAAACCCATCTGCGAAGTTTCACCTGCGTCGTTCTGGGGACCCTGAGACTGCGGCTTCTGGTCTTGCTGGCGTTGGCGTGGCTCTCAGTGAGAAAGCTGAAACTGCGCTCCTGGATTAGATCCGTCGACAGTAGGTTATGCGCAGTAAAACTTAGAGGCTCGTGCAAAGTAGATAGTCGTCGCTCCGAAAGACGCAACTTGTTTGTCGTCTCAGCGTACGCACCTACGAACTGTAGCCCAGATACAGTCAAAGGTACTTTCTACCAAATGCTACACGACCTCTTGCTTAAGGCAACTCGGGCTGATATCGTGATTTTAGCAGATGTGAATGCTAGAGTAGGCCGACTGCCTTCGAATGAGACGCATCTGGGTGGTCCTTTCGGACTAGATTCCGTCGCTCGGAAAACGGAACGGTTGCTGGCTCTATGTTCTGACCACCGCCTATTACTCGTCAGTACAAACTTCAAACGATCCAACTGTCGTTACACCACTTGGCGTCCACCCTTCTCGAGTCAGCGACTAACGCAGGCAGACCACATCGCTATAAGCTACAAATCACTAGATTGCATTCAAGACTGCCGATCCTACTGGAGCACTACCCTCGAATCCGACCAGGCGTTAGTTTGCACCAAGCTGTCCATGTGCTTCGGTGGGCGTCCTAAAGGTACGACACAGCGGCGGTTAGACTGCGCTAAGTTGTCTTAACCAGCATGCTTAGCCGTTTTGAAAAACGCGCTAGCTGAAAAGCAAGAACCAAACCCACCCGATAATGTTAATCAGCACTGGTCGCTTATCAAGAATGCTGTGCATTCTGCTGGCTTAGTTGTGGTCTGGCACGCTGTGTCGTGACACCCTGGATTTCTGCTGAGTCTCTACGCCTTCTTGACGCACGTTGGCCACTTCCGACCGGCAGCGAACATAACGTAACACGGCTTGTAATGAGACGTGAACTTAACGTAAGCCTACGCAGAGATCGCGAGATCTGGCGGACTAAACGCGCATCAGAGATGGAATATGCTGCCGCCATGGGAAATTCCCGTAAACTGTTCCATCTCATCCGAGTCACCGGTAGGAAAGCCTTGGGTGTGAGCGAGACGATCTATGAAGCTGACGGCTCGCTTATTCACAATCAACAGCGACATGTTGAACGCTGGACGGAGCACTTCAAAGGACAATTTCGCTGACCACCCGCGCCAGCTTCTCACACAGCTATTCTGGCACACGTCACGTGGTCTGTTTCAACAGACCGACCTTCTGAGGCGGAAATCCTTAAGGAGATTCAAGCCTTGGGACGTCACAAAGCACCGGGCTCCGATGAACTCCCCCAGCTCTATTTAAAGATGGTGGAATAAAGCCTGTTAGAGAACTACGAGTTCTGTTCTCTTAAGTTTGGAACACTGAGCAGATCCCCTCCTTGTGGAGGGAGTCAATTGTTGTCCCCATCTTTACAAAGGGTCCGCGCAATGATTTCGCCAATCATAGGAGTATAAGCCTGATCCCAATAGCATCAAGGCTGTTAGCGTCCGTCATTCTTCATAGATTGTACAAAACGCGCACGGAACATGCCCGTGAGGAACAGGCTGGGTTTCCTGCCGGTCTTCGCTGCAGCGATCAAATCTTCACCCTCCGGCAGTTGCTTGAGCAGCATGCTTACCGTAGATCAACGATCATTGTGTTCTTAGACAATCGCGCGGCCTTTGATTCTGTTGATAGGATCGCACTATGGGGGTGTTTGTTGAGTACCAGAGAAGTATGTGTCAATCGTCAAAGAGTTATATCGCCGTGCCTAAGGTCGAGTTAGGGTTTATGGCCAGATTTCACTTCCCTTCGCCGTCTCCAGTGGAGTTTGACAAGGCTGCCTTGTATCCCCTTTCCTTTTCAACTTCGTCATAGAGGATGTTCTGCAGGACGCTTTGTCCGGTTTGGCAAACGAGGGAGTCGAAATCTTCCCAGGGAACAGAGTTCTTGACTTGTTATATACCGATGACATTGCCTTGTTGTGTGACAATGCACAGGCAGTCCAACAAGCTTTACACCACTTGGCGATAGAGGTATCCAGGTATGGTACATGCTTTGCACCGTCAAAGTACAAATTGCTGGTTCAAGACTGGCAGGAGCCTGTGCCTGCACTCACCCTCTGTAGTGGTCAACTGGAAATGGTTGAGAGCTTTGAGTACCTCGGGAGTTTAATCACAGCTGAAAGTGCTGTTGGCACGAGATCACATCACGAATAGCGAAAGCTAGAGCAGCTTTCGCCAACCTTCGACAACTGTGGGGCCGCCATGACATCCGGGTGGGAAGGGTGTACATCGCTGCGGTCCGTGTTGTTCTGCTTTATAGCTGCGAGATCTGGCCTCTCCGAGCGGAGGATGTTAATCGAATTTCCGTATTTGGCCACCGATGCCTTAGAAGTATTGCTCGTGTCTGGTAGGAACATTGGGTGGGCAATGACGAAATTCGTCATCGTGTGCTGGGTACTGATAGTCGTTCTCTAACGGAAGAAATCGTTCTACACCGCCTCCGGTGGCTCGGTCATGTTTTGCGTATGCCTGCCCATCGATTGCCTCGCCGTGCTCTCTTTGCACGAGTTGGGCAAGGTTGGAAGAAGCTTCGCGGCGGTCAAACCATGACGTGGCGTAGAAGCACGAAGAAGCTGATTTCAGCATTGGCTTCGGTTGGTGCAGCTCACCTTCCATGCCGGGGGCCCAAGGGATGACGATTGCCGATGGTTAGAGACACTGGGAGATATGGTCCAGAATAGAAGTCAGTGGGGCGATTGCTGTGTGATTTGTTTGGTGAAACCCCATTCCTCGTAACACAAAAAATCTTTAAAATGTATATATATATATATATATATTGTTGTGTCCGAATCCCGATTGATCACAATGTGCACACAACAAGATATCACACGATAACACAAGGAACATACGTACCTCAACGGCCACACTAATCGTCTAGCCCCACGGGTAGGATCACAGCACAGATTGGACGCCACGAGCACTAGTAGCCTTCTCCCAGCTACGTAAACAAGAACACAGTGCACAGCGAATATACTTGACATACAGGAAGCAAGTCAATTTACAAGTTTTACTCTGATGTGTGTGTGACGCAAAATAGCATCGATTAATGCAAGAAAAAGATTGTGCCAATGAAGTAAACAGTTAGCAAAGTTCAATCGGTCATAGGTCACGGATCAGACGGACGGAGTGAATGTTACCGTATGACGCAATATCATTGATTAATCTCCACGAGATTAGTATTGATTCGAGATGCCCCTAATTGAAAATACTCGAAAAATAGGCAGTTTTAGGTAAAAAGTCTTTTTACCTAATATATATATCATTAGCCTCGATGACGGACGTTACCTATAACTATCCTTTCTTGGAATGATTGTTGGAATCATGCTGTCCTCAGTGCTTATATGTCAGTTCACATCCCACGTACGGTTAACGTCACCTGATCACAGTGAGAAGTTTGGCGCAAATTCCGATCTCTCTTGGAGTGATTGATGTAACATATATATTATTTATTTTATTTTTTTTTAATTATTTTATTACACGTAATTTTTCGACGAAACGTGTTTTTCGTACCCCTGGTTTTTTCTCATTTGAAGCTGCCATCTGCTGTTCCGATCAGTGCTGATTGTGCTGCTTTACTGAAAGGTCTATTGAAGCGTGATCCCACCGAACGGTTGAATCATGAGGATTTCTTTGCTCATCCCTTCCTCGATTTGAAACACGCTCCATCGGCTGAAAGCCTAGACAAAGCCGTACGTCCTTGTTTATTATATGACTAACACAACCGGGTGCACCACCGTTGAAAGCCTCTCATTGTTCCCAATGCACTAGCCCACCAAATGTATCCGGCTTAAGCTTGGGTACTTAGACAGCCATTGTCGTTGGACTTTTTAGCATTTGTTAAAGTGCTGATTCGGTGGCCGGAATATGTTCCGACCATGAGTATTGAATTAAAATATCTAGGGACCAGCAGAGAGTGGTTACTAGTTCCTATTGAAAAGTTATATATATCTATACTCCAGCTAGTCATATCCACATTTTACTTGGTATGAAAGGTCTCAAAATCGGATAACAGGGTCGTTTGCTGTTTTGGAACAGAATAACACAAGTTTTCGAATAAATCAGGGACCACAAGGGTGACAAGGTTCAAGGTTCAAACGTGGTGATGTACTCAATACCAATGTTTTAAGGGAGGGTTGAGTATTTTGAAAGTTGATTCATAAAACGGAACAGCAGTGGGTCCAGCTAAGAATGAAGTCCCCGAAAAGAGAAATATAAAACACTATTGTCCGAGACAGTCGTGAAGGCCATTCGAAACGAAAGCGACAGAAACTGCAACCGTGTCTGTAATCCGCAGCTGATCATAATAACAGCTTGAGGATAACTCACCGCCGAGCTGTTGAGTATC